GCTGCACATTGGTGGTGGTTGAGGAGATTCCCCTCTCTAAGCGCTTTGAGTGCCGAGAAAATTTAATTACATATAAATGTAATGGATTATTATTATTATTAATTATTATTATTATTATTAAGTGCAAGGTTCACCAATCACAGGAATCTTTAATTGGGCCTAAAAAGTGCATATTGTCACCTCAGAGAGGGGGAAGGTACTGACATGCAAGCACTACACCCTACCAGTCGTCTAAGTTCAGTTGTTCGTACCTCAAAGTCGGAACAAAACTGGTTCCATATGCAGATTGTAAAATCTTGCAAAGGTGTCTGTTGTAGCCCAGAAATGTCTACTAATGCTTCACCATTCGCTAAAGCCATAGAGGCTGCAACGCCCCTAGTGGAGTGATCCTTCAGTAAACCCTGGTAGCCTGGTAGGAGAAAGGCATCCACAATCCAATGGGCTATTCTTGGCTTGGATCCTTCTGCTGACCTCCAAAGCAGACATAGAGTTGGTCTGATCTTCTAAAGCTGGATCCCTAAGCCTCTTGACAGAGGTGAGAGGAGTCAGGAGGGCCATCTTCATAGAGAGAGCACTAAGATAACTCTGAAGGGCTTGTAAGACCACTGAGATATCCCAAGAGGGAATGAGGTGCGGTCTCAAATGATTTAACCAGTACCTGCGGCGTGAACTTAGTAGCCCGGCGGGCATAGTATGTCGCCATGCACAGTTTGTGCATCTTCTCTGGTGCGGGACCACCCTCATGCAGATCTCTTAGCGCCTTTGCCTGGTGGACCACCAAGCACGAGGTAAACTTACAGAGCCTGGACGGGATTCTCGGAGAAATTCTGCAAGGTGGAATAGACTGCAATGACTCGTTCTACCAGAGGTACCTCCGATTACCAGCGTGCCGCCCACCTTCGAGGGTGGTGAGGACTGAGGAGCTGGTGTATTGTGTTTTTCCACGATTTCGAGGAGACATACTCTTCCGAGAAGAAAGGAACTGATGCAGGGCATGGCAGTGTGTTGTGCTCCGACCCCAAGAACCAATCGGGCAGCCGTGAGCGCTCAGGACAGGAGTTGAGGAGTCCACTCGAGCTGTCTGGGAAAGCATGGCCGCCAAATCAGCATTCGCCTCAGCCTGAGCCTAGTCTTCAGTCTCAGGAGGCTTCAGACTGCCGTCCGATGCTGCGATCGATTACTCACCCTCCTCGCGAGAAATTAAGCAGGGAGATGCGATGGGGGAACTTCTGCTGGGGGACGCCTACAGGGACTCTCCCAACGCATGTCCCTACTCGCCCTCAGCGCACATTGCCAAGGCCTTTTACCAAGAGTTAGAAGGACCAGGGCAGGAGCTGAAGTGTCTCTTTGTCTTTTGTAAAAGAACAAGCCATGAGGATATGAACGCACAGGGAGGACATGAACCAATTACAAACGGTGTCTCAGCATGAGTTTGGCCCAAACACCGAAGGCAAAGCTCATGGCTGTTCGAAGGAGACATGAAACGACCGCATAAAAGAACACCGACGGAAGGGCATGTTAAAAATACACATAAAAATCCGCCATGTAATGCTATTTTAGAGTTTTTTTCTCTTTTAAAAGAAATTGCCTATTTGAGATCACCATTGAAGAACCCCGGGGAACTCTTTGCACTTATCTGTGCTGATGAAGGGGGAGAGAGACCGCTGACGTGTGCTGGATGGTCAATAGATGGGAATGGAATTGCTTCTCTGTAATAGAGATGCTCTGTAGAACAAAGCTGAATGTGTGAAACTCGCTGGCTCTCTTATCCCTGGGTGTCTTTTAGAATGAGTGGCCAGACATGCAAATTTAAGTTTCTGAACGTGTCAGAGGTGTCTGTATTTCAACACAACATTGAAAGTGACTGACAGAAAGGGAACATGAAAATATCTTGATCTTGTTTTAACCACAGACCTTATATAAGGCATTTACGAACAATTCATTAAGTTTTTGGATGATGGAACTGGAAGTTTAAAAATGCTAACCCATTCTCGGGTATTAGGACTCTTACAGCACTGTACTCATCTCCAAGACAACAGCTCAACTTGCACATATTTTTAACATAAGAACTTGTTTAGCTTTATCTACAACAGATAAAGATAAAAAAAACTAGTCTAAGAAATAATTGTACTGTCCATTGATTGTGTTTTATTATTTGGTTTGAAGCCATCTGCTGCAATATAATGTCATTTGTCTCTCCAAAGAATTCCACCAAACAAAACAGCTGAGATCTGCCAATGCAAATGCGAAGCAACATTATCTTCATCCTGTTTCATGCCCAATTATCCTTGTTTGCAATTGAAAGGGAAACTATTTGTTCGTCATCACACCTTTTGTTAGAACAGGCATTTGTGTGGATTCACATTAGCTGGAGTTCATTGCTCACAGCCCTTCCAAGGCTCTCTGCTGGGCTCAGATCTGTTTTGTTTGAGATGTGTCTGTGGCTGGCTGCCTTTTCCATTCCCCGTAGGAAGCCAGTGAAGCGCTGGGTTTTTGACGGTCATTATACATCACTGTCAGGTAGTTCCGGGATAGGGCCAAAGGAGTATTTTGTTCCAGTGATCAGAAAGATTCAGCACTGGAGTTCAATACTAATGTGACAGCTTTCACGAGTCATTTCCTGCTTTCCTTCCAGCGTGGAGTCATACAGTGACCCGAAAGTCACTTAAAGGGAGAGTTACTGTACGCACAAACTTAACGTGCAAAAAAGAGCCCAGGCATAGCTGGATAATTTCCATAATGACCAACACAATCTACCAAGAGCAATGCTAATTTGCGTCTGGTTTAAAGGTGCATTGTGTAGTATTTAGGAGGAGCTGTTGACAGAAATGCAATATCATATACACAACTATGTTTTCAGTGGAGTATAAAGACCTTATTAATGAACCGTTATGTTTGCATTACCTTAGAATGAGTCTAGATCTAGATACACCGTGGGTTCCCTTACATCAAAATGTGCTGACATGTTTCTACAGTGGCCCTTAAAGGAGTAGTAAAAAAAAAAAAAAACTTTTGCAGATAATTTACTCACCCCCATGACTGCATTGTGAACCAAACGGTTCAAGGTCCAAATGAGAGTTTCAGTGCAGCTTCAAAGGGCTTTAAATGACACCAGACGATGATTAAGGGTCTTATCTAGGACCCTTCAAGTCATGACTCGAAAAAAAATTAGTTCATTTTGATGAACGAGTTTGAATAGGAGTCACGAATGCTCATCACAGAACAGAGCAAGGCGAGCATTTTAAATGAGCGATTGTTTCACTAGATAAGACCCTTATTCATCGTCTGGTGTCGTTTAAAGCCCTTTGAAGCTGAACTGAAACTCTCATTTGGACCTTGAACCGTTTGTCTCCCATTGAAGTCCATTATATGGAGAAAATCCTGGAATGTTTTCATCAAAATCCTCAATTTCTTTTCGACTGAAGAAAGAAAGACGTGGATATCTTGGAAGACACGAGGGTGAGTAAATTATCAGCAAACGTTTATTTTAAAGTGAACTACTCATTAAACGGACAAACACATTTCGTCACTAACTTGTTATTCCCGTAAAGAAGCTAGCGGAAGTCAGACACAATGATGAACAAGTAATAATACTATTCGCAATAAATGTATTATAAATAATATTCGTTTTACTGAATAATTAAGTAAACCTAATTTCCTAATTTATCTTTGTAAAGAAACCATTGCTTAACCGGCTACTCTCTGCTGTCTCAGACGATGACATCTTTTCCTGTCGTCCACCGTGACTTCAACTGGTTGCAATTCTCAACCTCACCACTAGATGCCACTAAAAAAATTACACAGTGCACCTTTAATTCCTGGTTCAGATTACACGATTTTTTTTGGCTGTTACGATAGTCACAAGTCACATGTCAGACTACACGTTGCTTCCTGACCAGTCATCGCATGCCGTCTTTAACGGCGCGCGTGATGTCATCGAGAAGGCGAAACTAGTAGAGTGACTTCCGGAAACGAATGTAAGCAAACAATGGATGAAGCGGTGAGTGTTGTATTGGCTGTCCGGTGTTCAGAAAAAAGTAAAAAAAAAGAAAGAAAACCCGACAATGGACACGTTCCTGGATTGCTCGAAGAGGACAGTATGGGCTGTCAATCCTCCAAAGAGAACTTGAGGTAAAATATTGTTTTCTTATATATTTTTAGTTTTAGTTTTAATGTTAGCGCCATCATTTCTCTTGAAAGTTGTGTACGAAAAAGCTTCTGTGCTCCCATTGGTAAACCTCATACAGGTGACAGAACCGTTAAAAAAATAAAATTAAACGTGCTAGTCTTTTGTCGTGATGTCGTGAAGCATCACAGACGCGACGTAGGTTGTCGCCCATTATGACGCACTATACGAGATGATAAAATCGAATCTTGCGTCCCGATGCCCGTTGTCGTTTACGAATCCCCACGTCACCCTACGTCAAATGGATCGTGCCAAAATCAGGCTTAAATCGTGTAATCTGAACCAGGCATAAGACATGCTTCTTTTTTTGTAACCCCAGAGGGTTAACAACAATTTGAACTGAAAATGTCCAGAATGTCAATTGTTGAAACTCATCCTCATTCATCTCAAAGACACAGAGAATTGCCTATGAGACCATCTTATCCATCACAAAAAAGGTCATTTTAAACTTTATGTGCCTATAAAATTCTCATTGTAGGCTGATTGATTGATTTGTGATGGCTTGGTTTAAAGGAGTGTGCAGTGCATTGGTTCCATGCTGTTAGTGAGCAACTGGAAGAATCACTTTTAACTCAAAGAATATCCATTTCAATTTTCAGATATATAGTATAGATCATATATCCATCTACTGTAGCTTTTAAATCCAATGTCCACTTGCTCACATTCATGTCTTGCAATGCTTGGTGTCAATGAACGTCAAAAGAATTCCCATTCTCTGCAGTTTCCAGCTGAAATAATCATTAGTGGCACTAATACTCCAACTTCTGTTTTATTTTATTTGTTTCATTCTTTTAAACACAAATTCTGAATACAGGGGCAGATATCAACTACTGAAGACTTGGAAAAATAATTATACGTGTTTTGGCTTTCCTGTTGGTAAGCGAATTATGCTATTCTCATTTTGGGGCGAACTAATTTAAAAGCAGTGTTTTTTTATTTATTTTTTTTTTTTTCTGACTTCAGGAATTGGTTGATTTGTTGAAAGCAAATTTATTGCAAATGGAAGTGAGATTGAAAGTATTTTCTTATTTGTTTGTTCCTTTGATTTATTACTCTTGTTATTCTTGTCCTGTGAGTTTCTCTTCCACCAGTCATTTGTTTCCTCACAGGTGCCTGGAGCGATTGCGGCTGCACAGAGGTGTTGCCCGTGTTTTATTTTTCCCAATGATTGCCAAAGGCCTCGGCTCTGTTCTTAGGACTCCTGTATCCCTACAGGATCCATACAGGCTTGTAGTCTAAAAGAGACTTTGTGATGTTCAAATACACAGACCTACCGCCATCAAGCCGCACTTTCTATCCATCTTGTGATATAATGTGTCGAAGGAAGGTGCAGGTTTCTCTAATGAATAGGTCAGTGACCATGAATGTCTAAAAACTTGCCACATGCATTTTAAATTTTCTTTATCGTGGACACTCTTAAATGCTATTGACCTGTATCACAATTCGATATGTACCGTTCTCAGGCTGCCAGACTGCAGATTGTTGGCTCGCATCTCTCCATCTCTGGCACTCACGATTGCTGGCCAGACTCGCTTGACCTGGCAGAACCTTGGAGACCCCAGCTGTCAATGTTGGCTCCTGCAGACACCCTGCATTGTCCAGGCCTCCATGCCCTTTAAAATGAAACCTTTGAGAAGAACGGGCCTAGCTGTGTGCGCTCAGCAGAAAATGAGGCCCAGTTATCACCCTGCACTAACATAAGGGCACTTATAACCTTTTTTTTTTTTTTACGTTTAGTTTAAAGTTAAAATCACTGCAGTCCTGGAAAAAAATCCTCGGTTCAGTCTTTTATATTAGCTCAGTCATATTCAGTGAGATCAGAGAATATGCTGCTATTACTACTTCCAAAGTTTCAGTCTATTCTTCTGCAAACTTTCAGACACAAATAATCTGCCAGGTTTTGAGAAATGGCTTGTTATTTACTTTAATCACCATAGCTTTGCACAGAAAACTCAGGCACTGCTCACCATGAGTTTTGCCTCTGGGCAGCTTGTGAAGAACTCCAGAGGAATTCCTTTATTATTTCTAAGTAAGAGTCAGTTTGTGCCTCGACTTTAAACTCCTCAGCTCTGTTTTGGTGGCCCTGCACAATATGTTTGGCATATTAAGCCATATATATATATATATATATATATATATACAGTATATGCTGATATGTCAGCAAAAATATATCTGCCATATGGAAGAAGAGTTCGAGGTTGAGTAGAGCAGAAATTATGTAAGCTTGTTTCCGCCACAGAATCAAAAATAAAAAGGTAATTGCGACTTTTTATCAGAATTGCGTGATATAAAGTCACAATTGCGTGTTAAAGTCAGAATTGCGAGATATAAAGTCAGAATTGTGTGATATAAAGTCGCAATTGTGTGTTATAAAGTCAGAATTGAATAATATAAAGTCGCAATTGGGTGTTATAAAGTCAGAATTGATTGATATAAAGTCACAATTGCGTGTTATAAAGTCAGAATTGCAAGATATAAAGTCAGAATTGATTGATATAAAGTCGCAGTTGCGTGTTATAAAGTCAGAATTGCGTGATATAAAGTCGCAATTGTGTGTTATAAAGTCAGAATTGCGAGATATAAAGTCGCAATTGCGTGTTATAAAGTCAGAATTGCGAGATATAAAGTCACAATTGCGTGTTATAAAGTCAGAATTGCAAAATATAAAGTAAGAATTGATTGATTAACACGCAATTGTGTCAGAATTGATTGATATAATTAGAATTGCGAGATATAAATTCGCAGTTGCGTGTTATAAAATCAGAATTGCGAGATATAAATTCGCAATTGCATGTTATAAAGTCTAAAATTAAAAGTTAATCTTTTTTCCCCTTAGAATTGGCCTGATAACTCGCAATTGCTAGTTTATATCTAGCAATTCTCAGAAAAGATGTCAGAATTTCAACATATAAACTCGCAATAATGTCAGAATTGTGAGATGTAAACTCTCAATTGTGAGAAAAAAAAGTCAGAATTGTGAGATAAAAAGTTGCACTTCGGTCTTATTTCCCACAATTGCGACTTTATTTCTCAGAATTGCGACTTTATATCTCGCAATTGCGATTTTATTTCTCACAATTCTGACTTCACATCTCTGATTTTTTTTTTAATTAGTGGCGGAAACATGCTTCCACGTGAAATGGAAAATCTAATACACAGGTGAATCTGCATCAATGGGTTATTCTAACGCAGAGATTAATCAGTGTTGCAGACTATGTCAGCCGCTGGAAAATATTGGCGTATCGGTCGTGAATGACTTTCAAGTGAACCAGTCATTCTTGTGTTTGTCGATGTACTTGCAAGAGATCTATAGATATATTCATTCTCAAAATGTTACTATTTTTGGTTACACTTTATTTAAAGGTGTCATTTTTACAGTGTTATTATATATTTAAGTACTAGGTAATAATAATTAACAACATGTACTTACGATTAGCCTGGATGCAGCCCGAACTCCGCCCACAACATTTTTTGGACGGGAAGTTCGGTCTGGACTCGATCCATTGAGGAGTAATTATGATCGGTTCAGAAATCATCGGGCCAATCAAATTGCCAGGGCGGGCTTTAAACGATGATTGACAGGTGGTATTCAGTAACGTAATCCCCACGTCATCAAAGAGCGCTTGTCAAAGATGACTGCAGCTGGATAATTGAGATGTATAGATTCCGCTGTCGCGTCTTTTGTAAAAAAAATAAAAATAAAAATCGACAGCGCATTCATTTTAACAGACAAACAGAGAACTGCAATCAAGGCATTTGTCGATCGGAAAGATATTTTTGGCGTCCTTCCTACATGATTCGAGAAAAGTGTAACTTATCAGCTGGCTCTGACGGTCGTTAAGAAGATGGGACGTAATGAAAAGCCTGTGGTCGTTGTGGTTTCTCCTTTGGCGGCACTCATGGAGAAGTAAGTTAACTTCTAAAATAAATAAAGTAGGCTGCGTTCAGTATTTGAAAACTGCGCTATGCAAAAGAAGTTGCCTTTTGCGTTGCTCTGATTGGTTGGTAGGTCTACCGACTATCCAATTGAGTGCAGAGGTTGTTTTTTTTTGTCCTGGTTCGGTTACGACACGCCTCATAATCCAAGCCCAATGGAGGAGTTTCAGACTCATATTCTTTCTTAAATATGAGTATGACGAAGTCAGGCTAACTTACGATAGCATTAGGGTTAAATTGTAACACTTTTATGCTGTTTAGAAATTAAACGCCTCATAAAGCCGCCATCTCTCAGATTTTCCTCGTCCTTCAATGTGCAAAAGTTCACGCCATCGGACCTTCAACCGGGCTATTGAAGCTTTGAAAATAAAAATGGCCGAAAATGGCTGCGCTTTGAAAATAAAAATGGCCGAAAACACACTTCCTCTGCATCTCTGTGCTTTCTATGCAAGTTGTTTCACTCTATCAGATTTTGATTAAAGAGTGGCAGTATGGCATGCTGTAAGATTGTAAATAGAATCAGTTCTTTTTGCAAGTTCAAAGCATATACAGACTGACTATAGAAAGAATAAACAAATCTGAACAGAATTCCAGAATCCCCAGTGCTATTCATTTGAGAAGTGCAATACTTTGCTATAAATGTTTTTTTTTTTTTTCGAATTACATTATACTTTTCAGTTGAAGCGATTGACTTTGAATTAGAAGCATTGCAGAGTTTGTTTATAATTGCCTACTTCATTATTGTAGAACAAAGGTGAAAAACTGAGGTTTTCATGCTTGTTATTGTCTCGGTTTCCTTTTTTTTTTTTTTTCAACCACTGCGTCATTGAGCCAGTGCAGTGCCAGTACATTTCTCAGCACACGCCTCATTAGATCCACTTAGAGCAAACGCGAGCGGATTTCTCTCTCAGACCACTTATTTATCCCTGACGCATGGCTGAATCTCATCCTCGGGCCTGAGCAATGAAAGGCTGTCTGTAAGTCTGCAGCTCTCTTTAGAGTGAAGAATGCAGCATGCAAAAGGAAACTCATGTAGGTGATGGTTTAGACCTGCTCAGATGTTGTCATACCTCAGGAGACCTGATTATCAGTGTGGCCTCTGAGATTTCTCTGAAGCTTGTTTTAAAACCCAGTTTTTGGTTTAATATAATCTTAATCTTAATTTAATTGGTTATTATTTTCAAAAGTAATTTATTTGAACATTTTCTTTATAAATTACAGAAAAAATGAATCGAATAAATCATGGATTCATTTTCAAATTCAGGCAAGGATGAGCAGAAGGGATTCACAGCAGTCTTTAATCAAACAAGACAAAAACATGAAATCACAAGAATAAACAAAGGCAGCATAACAGCTTGTAAAAACTAAGACAAGACAATTGTGGATGAAGAACAGAACCGAACTCAGGACTGGGAGTAGGGGAAACATGTGCGTTACACAATCAGCTTCTAAGGAAACTAACTAAATACAGATGGGTGGGCAGGCAGGAGCTCAAACTCTGGGACGAAGAGGGCCTTGGTATTCAACGCCAGCGCTTTCTCTGTAACGGGCTCAATCTCCCAGTCTGCGGTGGGCTGAGGCTCTTTATCCATGGCTGAAGTCTGGTTGTCTCTGGGTCTGAAGTGGGGCTGGTGTTGTCCTCTTCCTCGATGTAGATGGTAAAAGAGGATCCAGGAAAACTGGCAAATCCGCGTTTTTCCTTGTGGGATCTGTTGGGTCCATTCCGTTTTATTGTCGGTTTTATTCTCTGTTCATTGTCGGTTGTTGTTTGTGTATAGCACGCTCTCTCGCATGATGGCATGACATTTGGAGTTTGTCATAAATATTATGTTATTTTTATGATCATTTTATGAATATCTTCATCTTCTGTGGATTTGAGCGTTACAGACCAATTATTCTTGATCGGGGCAAACTATCACCAGCCTGTTGGCCTCCCAGACACCATTGAACTGAACTGGAAGGATGCCGTCATTAGGTGTCTGGAGAGTGTCTTGCCCCAGTCCAGAGCAAAACCAAACCCAGAGCCCGAATCATCACCATCAGCCACGGAGAATTCACGTGTCCCGAGGTGAAGAGGACAGAGCTCACCCCATGCCCTGGAAGTGGAGCTCCAATATCGGCAGACAAGGTAGTAGTGAGTATGGAAAATGAGACCAGTCTGATGGACATCAGTAAGGAAGTATTGACTCCCATCCTATCCCACCTGCTACCTTCAACATCGCTGTTTCCGCTAATGACAGTATGAACTATTATTTCTTAAATCATCGAAGAGTATGGACTGTGTTATTCTTACCGTTGTTCAGTCAAGTTTTGTGGCACTGTGAAGCTTAGCCAGTCCTGCAGCCCCTCTGCTGCCGAAAGTCTACAGCCCTGCGACGTCTCTGGGACTTCACTGCCGTGTCGTCAAGCCGAAGTTTGTGCATCCACCTGCATGATCCATCCTGCGGCTCCACCTCCAGCCGCTGTTCTCTTCGCTCCATCTTGGCCTGTGGCCTCCCACCTTCGGCTCCACCGGAGACTCTCGGCCTTGCGGCTCCACCGGGTTACCTCTTCCTGCAGGCTCCCCCTTGATCAGTCATCACTCTACCTCCACCATGGACTTACGGGTTGCCTCTGCGCTCCGTCCCTCCACCCCTACGGCTCCAGTGGTTTCCATCTACGCCTGTGGATCCATCAGTCTCATCTCCGTCGGTCGTCCCCTAGTCGTCATCAGCCTCTACATCATCTTGAGTCCTCCCTCCCTCTACTTCGCCGTGGTCTGTCGGCACTGGGAGCTCTGGGTCTGTGCCATCGAACTGTTCCCATCATCACCGCCAGGGGATCGTCGTCATCTGTACCATCTCCTGTCACCACCCCTTCGCCACCCCCTCATCCACCTCCTAAACCCCCCTTTGCCATCTTTTTGTTACGGTCACACCTTGCCAGAGGGGGGTGTACTTACACAATTATGTTCAGTTTGGCCGTGTGTCCACCAAAGCGTTTTTCCACGCGCCTGGCGTATGTTTTCAATTGTTTTGAATGGGAGCGCCGCATTTTTTAAACGCCATGAGCGTCCCGAGGCGCTGAGCGTGTTTTTTTCACGCTGAAGCGTTGAGCGCCCAGCGTTTTTACTGGTCGCTGGGAGTTGAACAACGTTCAACTTTGGATAAAACGCAGCGCTCATCACTGTCACATTTTACCCAGCTGTCCAATCACAGTGGAGGAGGGCCGGGACTAATACCACACCGACCAACTGTCACAACATTCAAACTGCTGCGGATATTCTGTATCATAGCAACGAAACGTCTCAACGGAAAAAAAACCCGCTACCCTGCCAAAACACTCTCAAGGGTAGCACGGCGTCTTCAGCA